CACAAAGTTGGGAGCATGAAATTGTCCAAAATGTCTTGGTATGCTGATGCCTTAAGCGTTCCCTTCACTGGAACTAAGGGACCAACCCCAACCCCTGAAAAACACCCCCCGCCCCCCATCAAACTTTACACTTGGCACAATGCAATCAGGCAAGAACCGTACTCCTGGCAACCGCCAAACCCAGACACGTCCATCGGATTGCTAGACAGAGAAGCGTGATTCGTCACTCCAGAGGCCACGTTTCCAATTCTCTAGAGTCCAGTAGCGGCGTGCTTTACACCACTGCATCCGACGCTTTGCATTACACTTGGTGATGTAAGGCTTGGATGCAGCTGCTCGGCCATAGAAACCCATTCCATGAAGCTCTCTACGCACTGTTGTTGTGCCAATCTGAAGGCCACACGAAGTTTGGAGGTCTGTAGCTATTGTCTCTGCAGACAGTTGGCCACTTCTATGCACTGTGCGCTTCAGCATGCGCTGACCCCGCTCTGTCATTTTACGTGGCCTACCACTTTGTGGCTGAGTTGCTGTTGTTCCCAGTTGCTTCCACTTTGTTATAATACCAGTAACAGGTGACCGTGAAATATTTAGCAGCAAGGACATTTCACAGAACACCTGAATCCAATGATTTGGAGGGGTGTCCCAATACTTTTGGCAATATAGTGTATCTCTTCAGTAAACACCTGTTGATCCTGCCAGAAATCATACGAGCTGTTAGCTTCCTGTGCCCTCTGCTTGTGCAGCAGTTATCAGTTACACTGTTCTCAGATAACTCTTAGCACTACACAACTGCAACCCCCTAATTATGGAGTAGTGAAGGGGGGGGGGGCTGTTGTCCTGATACAGTAGGGTGAGTATTCTCATCTTAGGACTGGAAGCGTGTTACTGACAGAATCAGCAAAAATAAATACATAAAAACACAGTGCCTCTGTTGCACCGAAATGTCTGTCCTCCCTGTCCAGTTCTCTCTGTGGTCCACATATCTTCACCCCCTCCTATTTTATGAAGATGGGGAGAGGGGGAAGGTGTTTTGTAGTCCACAAAGAAAACTCAGGCAGGGCTAACAGCAATGTTTTAGATTTAAGTGCAGCATTGTTAGTTTACCACAGGAAGTTATCCTCATCAGACAGCTTCTCCCTCACTGCCTGGCCTGATAACAATGTTGTCACTAAGACGGGAAATTAGGGGAAATCTCAAACTCTGATACAGAGACCAAAAACATCAATATAATAGTTCCTGTATAGTGCAGGGAACGCTTAGAACCTCTCAGGTTTTATTTTGCTGATTGTGTCCTCCTCCTCTGGTGACCCTGTTCTGCTAAATTTTTGTGTCGGTGTGACGGCAACAGGAAGTGAGAAGAAAGATTCTCGATGGCAATAAAAACTAAAAACAAAAAAGAAAAACGTTTTTGGCTAGAGAGGCAAAAATACTTTATCCAAACTCAGGGCAAAGAAAAAAACGTACCGGGGGCTACCATCACAGTTCATTTTGTCTACAGGCTTAAATAAGCCAGATATACTCACCTGATCCTCAGTCCCATGGCGGTCAGCACTGTCCTCTCTCCCCCTCCGCTCCGGCTATGGAATATCTCATGTCGAATGCAAGTCAATGAACCTGCGTAAGACCTAATGATGTCAGCGGTCCTTAGACTGCCAGAGTTGGGGGGACAAGTGGCTGCAGGGACCAGTCTAGCAGCCTAGAGGGAGCCGGGGTCTAAGGATCAGGTGAGTAATACAGCTAGGGATGCACCGATAGCAGATTTTCAGTACTGATTCCGAGTACCGACACCGGTGCTTCCGCGGGCATGGAGCAGGCTTCCCGGGCAATCAGAAAGCCGGGCAGTGGGTAATGACATACCGCCTAGCTTCCTGATTGCCTGGGAAGCCTGATTCATGTTGTTTGGCCAGCTTGATTGTGATTGGCCGGAAAACCAGCTTCCCAGCCAATCAGCATCGAGCCGGCTTCCTGGCCAATCAGGAAGCCGGGCGGTGAGTAATGATCCGCCTCCTGGTTTCCTGATTGCCGGGAAGTCGGCTTCATGCTGACTGGCTGGGAAGCCAGCTTCCCAGCCAATCAGCATGGAGCTGGCTTCCCGGCCAATGAGAAGGCCGGAAGGCGGGTCATTACTCGCCGCCCAGCTTCCTGGTCGCATGGGAAGCCGGCTCCATGTTCCCCTACGGCACTGCCGGTCAGAGGAAATCTTTCTCCGGTATCGGGAAAGGTATGGGAGCATTTGGGCGAGTATGAGCACTTGGCCAAATACTCGGTATCGGCACCGATACTGATAATAGTATCGGTGCATTCCTAAATGCAGCATTATTACAAATGAGCACTGTACCCTTAAAGTGCAAGGGTAACCCCACTGCAAAGGTAAGTCTTTTGTTTGCCCGGAGTTCTACTTTAAAAATACACAAAAACCTTTCTATCCGATAAAAAAAAAGTCAGTGTCAGGCGTTCCTCTCCTCCTTTGCTGTTTTCCATATACGAAAAGGTGTGTTTTAAGTGATGCAACACATTAGTAAATAACCAGAAAGGAGGGTGAAATGCAATGAAGCCCCGGATCTTTTACCCAATGCGTGGCAATTAGGTGCTGACGCCATTGCCAAGAACTCAGAGTCTGAGGACTAAGCTGGCGGCCCGGCCCTATATATAAGCCAGCTTTATCAGTGCCCATGTGTACTGATCTCACGAATGTGATACTGGCAGCAGCCCTACCTGGGATCAGAGATTAATCAGCACTCTTTATTACTCTGCCACATTAATCTCAGCTCTGGAATGCAGAAAAGATTTCTGAATCATAACCGAGTGTACTTTCCAAGGGATTGAGCTGTGATTGCATCAGACCTTCCTGCTAAGTCATAGTGATGGTACTTAGACGTATGGAAAGTCCTCCCCACATCCCCCAGGGGGCGTCTGTACAGTACAATAACCTTTCATAGGAAGACACAATCTGCACGCCGGACTGAACGATGCATGTGATGCTTATGTAAACATTAAGTGTTTAATGAGTTTATCCGAACATAAGACAAAGCCTGCCGGACAAGTGAAAGTCATCCTTATACCCGTGAGATGTAAAGTGTCATTCCACTATTTGTTGTTTCTCAATCACATTACATAACCCACACACATTGCATTGCTGCTTACATAAAACATGAAGAATTCTGAAAGAAAAGATGTTCTCTGCACTGAATTTCCCTCTGCAATGCAAGGAAGTGGGGGGAGATCAATGAATTGTAAAGTCCCCGCATATCCTCTCCGGTTATGACATCAGCATTGTAATAGGAATACATACTAGAGTTGATAATGCAATTAAAGCTTACTTGAAAAAAGCAATAAAGTAAAAAAAATAAAGTTAAATAAACTAAAATTAAAAAAAGACTAAAAAATGTAAAAAAGTTAAATAAAAAATGCAAACAAATGAAAAAAAATAAAGTAAAAAAAAACTAAAATTAAAAATTGAATTTTTTGTTGGGTGTGTTATTTTAAATAAAAGGTTATTATATTGGCTTAGAATTCACATTATTTTAAATCCATGAAACTAATTTAAGTGTCTAATATAATACATACAATTATTAATATATATATAA